ATTGAAATAAAAATTGGATTGCAAGAAAAGGGTTCATATTTGTTTTAGGTCTTGCTTGGAACATCTGGAACAGGTCATCTGCATACAGTCAGTGTTTCTTAAATATGGAATTAGTGTTAGTGTTTAAAAAATTCTACTTGAAAAGAAAAACTAGTAGATCAATACCCAGGGGCATGAAACTCTAGTTGCTCACTACTGAGCTTAATCTTAATGTCTACGGATGCATAGATAATTTAGTGAATGTGTGTGATGAGAGTGACCGCTGCACTTGCCCGATAAAGAGCATGCCTAACTTGTGAATCTGCTGGGCTTTTTAACAACACGGCCACTTCTAGTAATTAAGTTTGGGTGTGTTATCCGTGTGTGTTCCAGAGAGGGTGGTGAAGAGTACAGGTCCTCATCTGTGGTTTAAGTGTACTTGCTCACTCTGGATGGATGCTGAGCGCTGATGGTGAGTTTGAAGGTGACGGCGCGATGAATCGTCGTCTTCTGAATCAGACTCAGGTTGAGGGTGACGACACGATGGATAGTCGTCTTCAGGATCAGATTCAAGTCCAGGTTTATCTGGTTCTTGATGAACGTCATGAAGTGGAACTGCTTTGAAGAAAGATGAGTTCCTTGTTACTGTGTGTTGACTGTTGGTGGTAGTAACCATGTTTCCCTTCACCTTTTCCACGGTGAAAGGTGTTGGGTTGTATATTGTTGACAGTTTGTTTTGTTTTTGTTGACGGACCAGGACAGTGTCACCGATTTGCAGATTGTGTTGAGCGGTGTGTCTGTCTGAGTCCGCATACTTCTTTTGAAGGAGTTTTGCAGTGTCGTCGTTGGCTTTCAGGTCATGGAGTGGCTTCTTGTGAGTGGCGATCAACTCTGGGAGAGCTGTTCGCATCTGCCTGCCGGTGAGAGCCTCATGCGGGGAAATTTTTCGTTGAAGTGTGCGGTGTGGCTCTGTATTGGCAGAGGAAGTTCTGCAACTCTACTTTCCAATCAGAATGTTCTGCTTGACATGCATGAACAAACTTGTTCAAGGTTCGTACGAACCTTTCAGCCTCTCCGTTCGCTTGTCAGTCTTCAACACCCTTGGTGTGCCAAATTGTGAAAACATCTCCATCAGGTTTGGGATGGCTGTACGAGCAGAGGTTGAGTTGACAATTTGAACCTCAGGAAATCTGCTGTAATCATCGATTACTATGAGGCGAAGTTCTCCAGAAGGGAAGGGACCTGCGAAGTCCGCAGATAACTCATCCCAAGGGCGCTTGAGCAGTGGTGTAGTCTTGATCGGATCTCTCTGTTTAGGGCCAACGGTTGCTGATTGGCAGGGAATACACCTTAAGGTGTGTCTCTACCAGTCTGTCGATTCCTGAGAACCAGACTTTTTCTCGAAGCAATTGTTTTGTCTTGACGATGCCTTGGTGAGCACTGTG